ATGACTCATCTTCACAAGACCACAAAAAAAGTGGGGGCGTAACCACACTTGTGTGTGTATTAAAAGATAAATATCAGTTGTACAACATATTGCTGTAGGCCTAAACCAGTATACAAGTAAAGATATAAAATCTTTTTCCCTCGGAGCCTGGCTTAAAATTAGATAGAGATTTGCTAAATTTTGTATTTTGCGTATTGCTATTGCTATTAATATTCCTAGCATTCTATATGTAGTTTAATATCATTTTTAATACTATTTGTACAAACCAAGAACACGCGATTGCGACGATGAGATGCCTAGTAATGTTGCATGAAACATCAATAGTAGAGTAGTTAATAATACATATTTATGCTTGAAAACCAGGCCCTGAAAGAAAAAAATGATACGATGTAAAATTAATTTGTCTAAGACACAAAAGGGTGTTGGACGAATATTTAAAAACGGGGTGAAGGGTGTGTACCCACCCTTCCCATGCAGTTTTTAAATATTAATATTAATATTGTATTTGTTTGTGTATTAGAAAAAAAAAACAAGTTGTACACCATATACTAATATTTTTGCCTTGGACCTTATTGTCCTACATTTTGCACTCGGTGACAACCCACATACTTAAAAACATATTATTGAATTTATTTTTTAATTGAATTTTTGATATTTAAGCTGCAATCATTTTAATTGATTTTCTTGAATGTCTTACACTGGAATTTTATAAACTATTTTTGTACTATATTTTGTATACTAAATTAAGAATTATAATGAGCTGATGATACTTTATTTAACCTGCAGTTTTTTCTCAATTATTTGTTGTATATATTTGAACCTAGTTAAGATATTTAAACTTAAATTTTTAGAATCTTACTGTTGATATTTTTTGTTACTGTTTTTTGTGTATCCGAGGAAATCAAATTTCAATTTTACTTGTTGTACTATTGACAATAAAATTACTTTGAACTTTGAACTTTTAGTAATAAGTATCGAAAAAAAATTATACCGCATAGACCTAGATACTTCAGAAATATTTTATACCAGGATTCATTCAACTAAACGGTTTAATTTTCAAAAGTAAAATTATTATTTATTAATACATCATTAATTAGTATCTTTATATAAATAGCTTTATGTAATTGTTTTGACAATTAGAAAATTCTGTGCTTTGTAAAATAAACAAAACAAAACAAAGCATAACTGACTTTTCTTAATATTTTTGTGTCTTGCATACAACTAATTTAGCAACAGTGGAACGTCCAATAATCTGTACCATCAAGTTACAACGCTGATCAACTGAGTTCGAACTTGACACAAAGGGAGAGAATAACTGCATGGATGTCTCAAAAGTATCCACGAAAACCAGTTCAATTCAATTCAATTTCTTTATTTCACAAATAAACACATATTTACATTTCGTTTTTTTCTGTCTGCTGTACGCAGTCCCAGTGATGTATCGTACAAAGTACAAATTAGCAGCAGACGATGTGACAGTATTATTTTAAATATATATATATATTATGCGTATATGTATATATATACATATATATAAGTATATATATATATATGTGTGTGTGTGTGTGTATATGTGTGTGTATGTTCAAAAAAGAATACTAAACACAATAATGAAAGATATTAAATGATCACAAAATAGTAATAAAATCTAAATACTGTTACTGTCACTAGAGTAGCTGTTTTCTGTTGGAATCAATTGACCGTCATTGACAAGTAGGCCTACTGATGATTAGCTCATCATGTGATAATAATAATTTTTCATAAATGGACAGCCGGGGGTTAATGGTCATCCACTGTCTAACTTTTTTGGTTTTCTGATACTTTTTTCTCTGTTCATTTCCAAGTGGGTGGCAACAGGGCTCTATAGAAGTCTCCAGAATTATTATTATTATTATTATTATTATTATTATTATTATTATTATTATTATTATTATTATTATTATTATTATTATTATTATTATTATTATCATGATTACTATTATTATTATTATTATTATTATTATTGTCAATTATTAAAATAATACAAACATTTTTATAACATATTGATAATGATAATGATAGTAATAACAATAATAATAAACATAGTAATAATAATAATTTATTATTATTATTATTATGATAAATATAATAATAACAACAATTTATTATTATTTTAATTATAATTATTATTATTATTATTATTATTATTATTATTATTATTATTATTATCCAATCTAAATGTAAGGGTGTACAAATATAAATGCACCATCTGGGTAGTTGGCTGAGAGGTATTTGTTCCTGCTTCTTGTGCTGAAGACCCCGGTTCAAGACCGGCAAGTGTCCATTCGCTTGGCTCTTCGATTAACCTTATATTGAGAGTTAGACGGGCTAAGGACAATGTATGAATCCGTTATATGTTTGTAGTTTGTTAGTTAGGCAAGACTTTTTTGTACCTTGTTTAGTGAGCCCGCCTAACGCAAATATTGATGATTTCGAATAAAATTAAAATTTTATTTTTTGCAAATTAGCGCACCCACCTCCACGAAAAATGGAAATTTCAGAAAAAAAAATAGAGGTTTTCTTTATTTTTATTACGCCCTCCACTGCCTTGAAATCTCCAAAGATAAGATATGTGTATTTTCTTCCTAATTATATAAATTTGAAGCATTTACCCATCCCATTCACCAATAAAATTTTAGTTTTATTTTCTACTCCAGCTAAGTTTTTAGCAAAACTATTTGCTAAATAAGAAAACTAAATTTTATTTTTATTCTGCCCTCTCCGATGATCTATAAAAAATTCATTGCGCGAAACAAGGAATAAAAAGTCTTGCCTTACCGGAATCTGTATACAGACTTGCCTCCTAGGTTTCAGCATTTGTTTTTTAGTGGAACGGATGGAATTAAATTATTAATATTATTGACCACTGATGCTTAATTATTTTTGTTTTTACTATTATAGTATGTTGTACATTATAATTGTGTTAAATTTTTCAATCAAGTGTGGGCAGTGTAGCTGTTATTAGCCAAAAAGCCAAATCCTAATAAAAGCTGCATTTTGCTAAATATATTTTTTATAAACCATAAAGCTGATGGAATTGAAGCTTTTGCTGCTTATATTCATTGTTTTGGCAAGTCAAATTTCTGTTTTGCTAATTAATGTCATACCAAATTAGCTAAATTGTGAGACAAAATCTCCACTGAATAATATGAATGAGTGGTGCTGTGTGCAGGCCAAAACTATCATAACTATTATTATTAATAGTTTTATTATTACTATACTAATATTATTATTATTATCACTATTAGTAAATTGTCTTATGCTTTTTTCACTTTGTTGTATCCAGCCATGAAATGTTCCCGTAGTGGGATGAATAAAGTATCTTTGTATTGTATCCTTGTAAAACTTTAATAGAAATTATAATTTAAGTAATTGCAATTAAGACAGACTTTGGTGGGTTTTATTATTATTATTATTATCAATTATTAAAATAATAAATAATAATAATGCTGTAAAGGCAAATATACAACATGGTACCGTAGGCCCTAAATAACCATTTAAATGTTATCAGATGCCCGCAAGACGGAAACAAATTGGCCGTAGATCGGGAGTTCTAAATGTGGAATTGTGGATTTTCTCCCCAAGAGATGGGTGTTCTACCTGTACCCTCCCACTGCACTGGCTCCACCCCTTCTTCACGAATTGCCTTTTTCCAACTTGGGACCCCTGCAAATGTGTATCATTGTTGCAATATAAATGCTAAGTTTTTATTATTTATTTGAGGTATATTTATTAAAAATTCTACATCAAAAACATACATAGAAGCAACAAAGGCTGAATTGCGTATGAATTAAAGAAGTAAGAATAATATATATATTATATAATATTAAAAAGGTAGACAAAATAAAAAGACAAAAAAATAAATACCAATATCAAAATATGAGATAACCACGGAAGGACATTTGTAAAACGACCGGACAGTAAAGAGAGGGGAAAATAAATCAATCAACTGTAGGGGGAAAATTTTGAGTGTAACTTTTATTTATTATGTAAGCCAAAAATGGGATCGGACTTGTTTGGAATCGTTTGGTTACCGGTAATTAATTAATTAATTACGTTTCTTTTATTTAAATAAGCCTGCTTCTTCATATCCGGAATAAAGAAGAGTCCCTCCCCCCTAGTTATTTTTGTTTTCAATACTAGGTCTATAGAGATAATATTATATTTCTATTTGCCCTAATATACCAGGAAAAAACTAGAACGTACCCTTTCCCTTTCAAACTTAGGGACAAGAAAATGTAGATCCAGGTCTTCTAATACTGTTTTGATTGATCGAGACATTTTTGTTTTCGTTAGTTATTATTTTATCACTAAGATAATCACATGTCGAATATTCTTTGTTACACGCGACTTTCCACTAGGCTCATTCCCATAGCCGTTGATTTTTTCCCACTTGACCCGATGTCAAAGGTCATGAAAGCACCGAATGATAAAAGAACCGTACGTAATGATGAAAGGGCCGAAAGGAAAGCACCAAATGATAAAAGAGCCGAGGTGCGGCAAAAGCACCGAACGTAATGTTAAAAGCACCGAACGTAATGTTAAAAGCACCGAACGTAATGTTCAAAGCACCGAACGTAATGTTCAAAGCACCGAACGTAATGTAAAAGCACCGAACGTAATGTTAAAAGCACTGAACGCAATGTAAAAAGCACCGAACGTAATGTAAAAAGCACCGAACGTAATGTAAAAACACCGAACGTAATGTAAAAGCACCGAACGTAAGGTTAAAAGGGCCGAATAGCAAATGCGCCGAACGGAAAAGAGCCACCAAAGGCAGTAACGGCGTTCCATAGCCCAAAAGCTTATCTTCTTATTTCTGGTGGTTACGCACCGCTGATTCGCAATGTTTGTCATCACTTAGGCCTAGTTTAGATGTCTACACTAGGCGATGTCAGTTTTCGAATAAAGGTATTATTGTTTAGAAATCTTAATATACTTAGTTGAGGGTCTTAATTTTCGGGGTCTGATATTTCTAGTAGGTCTGATATCTCAATATTTCATTCCCTGTGCAGGCCTTACCTACACTCTTGTACTTAGGCTAGGCTTATGCCTATATCTAACTAGCTAGAGGGCATAGGCCCAAGCAAGGCCTGAGCTAGCCTAAACTAGGTAGGACTAGGCTGGTTGGTTTCTGGACAAAAGGGCAATAAACCAAAACGCCAGTATGTGAAATCGGCAATAACAAAAACGGCAAAAATCCAAAACGGCAACACTTTTTAACCAGAACAGCAATATAGAACAGGAGCCAAGTGGTGCCAGCATAGCTGGAAGTTAACCAATTTGTGTGTATAGGCCTATAGTAATGTTCTAGATGTGCCTGTCTATGTTGGAGAATGGGCATCTGCCGGTCCCATATTGTGGTGGGTGTGGTCACGAGGGGCATAAAAAGGGCCCAAAAATTGAGCTAGATCAACTTGTGAATTAACCCAATGAAACCTATCAGAATATATTCGGCATAGTTCAAGATATCATAAATGGACAATGCCAGACATTTCCAATGGTGGTGGGTGGCTGCCAGACGCAAGAAACCGGTACCCCAAAATTAAGCTAGATCAGCTTGTGAGTTAACCCGATGAAACCTACTGGAAAATGTTGGGCATAGTACCAGGTATCAGGAATGGTCACCGCCGACATTTTTAATGGTGGGGTATACCTGCCAGACACCCCCAAATACCCCGCCCAAAAAATTGACCTACTGTAGATCAGCTTGTGAGTTAACCCGATAAAACCTACTAGAAAATGTTCGGCATAGTACAAGGTATCAGAAATAGCCACTGCAAGACATTTTTAATGGTGGAGTGTATCTGCCAGACACCCCCTTATAGCCCGCCCCCCGAAAATTGACCTAGATCAGCTTATGGGTTAACCCGATAAAACCTACTGGAAAATGTTCGGCATAGTACCAGGTGTCAGGAATGGCTACCACCAGACATTTTTGATGGTGGGGTGTACCTACCTCTTATACACATCT